TCAAACACGCGCGCCTTGCCCTTGAAGCGGAGACCCTCCTTGCCGGTAATCTTGGCCACGGCACCGCCGGGAGCCAGGTTACCGTACAGGATGCGGATGTGGCCGGTGGGCTTGATCGGGTTGTCCACCGGGCGCAGCAGGTCCTGCGACGCGGGCAGCTTACCGTTCTTCGCCACCCAGCGCTCGCAGTTCTCGCGCAGCGTCAGGCCAGTGACTGTCAGGTGGTCGCCCTTCATGAGACCCTGCTCAATAAGGTAGTGGATTACCGTAGGGATACCACCGCACAGCTTGTGCACGTCCTCCATCACGTATTTTCCGCTGGGCTTAAGGTCGGCCAGGAACGGCGTCGAATCACTGATGCGCTGGAAGTCGTCCAGTGTAATCTCCACACCGACACTCTGCGCCATGGCAATCAGATGCAGCACGGCATTCGTGGAGCCACCCAGCACCATAGTAAGTACCATAGCATCCTCGAATGCGGACCGCGTCATGATATCGCGCGGGCGAATGTTCTTTTCGAGCAGGTTGCGCATCGCCGGGCCGATCTCTTCGCACTCCTTCACCTTCTCGGGGTACTCCGCGGGGTACGAGCTGCTTCCGGGAAGCGTCATACCGATAGCCTCGGCACACGATGCCATAGTGTTTGCCGTGTACATACCACCGCATGCACCGGGGCCAGGGCAGGCGTTGCGCACCGTGTCATAGCGGCGCTTTTCCGCATCGGGCGTTCCGCCCGAGGCGAGATACTGGCCGTAGCTCTGGAAGGCGCTCACGATATCGAGAGTGCCGCTCATAGACGCACACCCACCGGGGCGGATCGTGCCGCCGTAAACCATGATGCCGGGACGGTTCAGCCGGCCAAGCGCCATGAGCACACCCGGCATGTTTTTGTCACAGCCAGGCACTACGACACACCCATCGAGCCAGTGGCCACCCATGCAGCTCTCGACACTGTCTGCGATCAGGTCACGGCTCGGAAGCGAGTAGCTCATCGCACTCGTGCCCATGCTGATGCCATCCGACACACCCACCGTGCCGAATTGGTACGCCGTCAGACCGGCGGCATCCACCGACTTCTTGATGCGCCGGCCGACCTCGAGCAGGTGCGCATTGCACGGGTTACCCTCGTACCACACGCTTGCAACGCCGATCATTGCACGCTTCAGATCGTCATCGTTGTTGATGCCTTCAGTCGCATAGAGCATGGCCTGACTCGCGCCCTGGTCCTTCGGTTGCGTAATCAGGCGCGAGTAGTGGTTGAGATCGCCTGGCGCCGGGCGATTCTCTGATGCGCATGCACACGACGTCGCAAATCCGCGAGCACATCCACCAGATGCCATTGTGCGTGCCAGGTTCCTAGCGGATTGCCCAGCCAACATCCGCATCCTTCGTGTCGGTCGAATAGAAAAACGCCGGAGCCAATGCTATTGTGTGCATTTCGCACAAGTCCGGCCGAGCGCCATCGAGTCATGTCGGATGTGGAGGAATCCCTATGGGCCAACTGTCTACGTCGGGGCGGATGCGCGGCCGATGTGCATGCCAACGCGCACGAGCGTCTCGATACACGACTCGCTGTTATCAATAAGGTCACGGTCGATCGTAAGGAACTTCTCTTCTGCCAATAGCACCAGCGTAGAGCCCCCAAATTTGAAGTAGCCTAGCTCGTCGCCCCGCTTGACGCGTTGGCCTGGCGACACCGAAAGAAGGATCGAGCCGACCATCATAGCTCCGATGGCGGTAATATAAACCATCCCAAACTCTTCTGTGAGAATGGGGATCACAACGCGCTTGTTTTCGCCAAACACATCGATTGTACTCCGGATCCCCATCGGGTTCACAGTGTAGTACTCGCCCTCGGCCCAGTCTGGCTCGCCCACCACGCCGTCCACCGGTACATGAAAACGATGGTAGTCCTGCGGTGCTAGACGGAAGATGATAAGCGAAAGTGGCACAGAACTTGCGTCGCCATAGCGCTGCCCCAAGAGCTTGCGCACAGAAAAGTTGCGGCCTTTGATCCACAGTTTCGTCGCGCGATCCACCGTGGGGAAGGCCATCAACCTGCAGTCTGCACAGCTGACCAACGTGCGCGCATCATCCGGGTCATCCAAGGGCCGCAGCTCCATTTTAATCTTGCGACAAAAGAATTCGTTGAACGTCGTAAACGACTCGACCGGGTCGGCCATCTCGTCCACGTTGATCCCGTGGAACGCGATGAAGGGACCGATAAATTTGGCACTGCTTGCCGCATCAAATTTGCGCCCTTGTTTCACCGACATATTTCGCAACATGCGACGTACACGAGCGCCCGACATTTGACCATAAGCACCTTGATACAACAGACGAATGCCCAGACGAACGTAGACCTGCATTTTCTCCTCGAGCAATTCACCCGTGTCACGATCTTGGACCAGAATATTGGCACTGTTGGCACCTACACGGTAGTTGCCTTGGCTGATCTTCTTGATTACATTGGTATACCACTTGCGATGTGCCTGGCTCGCGGTGACGAAGCGCGACATGGCCAACTCGTCCATCCGGTGCCAATCACTGGAGGCACATAGGGCCAAGTGCGTTAGAATGTCGGTTTCGTTGGCACGGCGAAGCTTGCGCTTGTTACAAAATGGGCACGATTCAAGGCGGATAACACGCTCCATCGGGGCCGAGTCACTCTCGTACGTTTCGCTGTCAAGATCGGACATGTTGGCTTCGTGACGTCGTGCAGAAAGGGGTATCTTCAGCATTGCCTCCAGCATGCGAAGCGCTTCGTCGTACGTCAGCTGGTCCGTTTCGGGATTCTTGCCAATCTCGACAAAAAGTTCTTGGATAGTTTCCCGCGTCAACGTACTGCCCAGACTGCTGAGCATGGCAGTAAATTCAACAATATCCACACCATTGGATTCATTTGTATCGTAAAAACGCAGCATTTCACGCAAAAAGCGCTGTCGTAATGCGTCATAGGGTCGATAACCATAGCGGATTACGAGCACGGGCGTGTTTCCTGCACCAAATTTGCGTTCCTCGTCCCCTTGTTCACGATACAGAGGAATTTCCAGCGAGTGGGTCATAAGCGGCTTCGAAAATTCCCATTTGTACAGTCCTGTCTCTTCATCAGGACTCTGTGCCGATTCCAGAATGGTCGACATAGGCAGCGTCGCCTCACCGACATAATCATTGGCCGACATCTTGTCCCAGTCGTAGACAAAGAACTTGACATTAAACCCCGCTTCATTTCGCCGCACATGAAGCAACAATTTCTCCTTCCAGACCGGGTTGAGTGTATGCCGGCAAACACGCGTCCGAAAGATTTTGCGGTTAAATGAAACAATGGTAAATGGATCCATATCAAACGAAGTTTTCGTCATATTCCGCCAGTGGGGCAAGTTCCGGGCGCCATCTACTTCGATCAAAACAAAACCCAGCATATCTTGCCCCGCAGCAGCATTGAATGCAATATTGCCTGTACGCCTTGGCTTTCGTACACGCAAGCGTCTCGGCTTCCGTGGTCGACGCAGCTCAATCTCCCCATCGCTTCCATGAAGGGAGGCACTCTTGACGGTGGGCAATGAGCGCAGGCGAAGTCGTCGAATCCGCCAGTATCGCTGAGGTGCGTCACTGTCCTCGGCATCACTCTGGCTGACGTTATTCGTCACCTTCTCCAATTGGTCCTGATTGCCTCGTCCATGTCGGCGCGGAATAGACAAGAACATCCGACGACGACGCCCATGCGTAGTGGTTCGACTTGATTGTTCTTCTTCGACTGCGACCTCCTGCATCCTGTCTTCCAGCTCCGAAAGCGAACCTTCCGAGGATGCTTCCAGGGAGGATTGCGCTGAGGTATCCTCAGTTTCGAGCATGTCCTCATCCACGGGCCCAGACCCTTCCTCCGAATCGTATTCCGATTCGCTTTCCGAAAGTCCATCATCTTGGAGCTCCTCGTCATCTTCGGCCATCCCGACGGCCTGAAAAGCCGGAATGTTACGGAGAGAGAGAGAATCATTCTCTTGTACTGCCTTGCAAATAGCATGGTACAGCCGGTCAAGATCAAATGATTGTGGGGCACCATCGATGGTACTTGAGAGAAATCCCAACCGAACTTGCACCGCTGCCCGCTCCATTACAGGCTCCAAGTTGAGCCATTCAGTCTCGCTTTGGTACCAATATGCATTTCCTCTGGAGCAGCTGGCCCATTTGACAACGGGCAAAGTAACCTCGCCGATACAGTGCACTTGCTCGGATGCCTCATCTGGGCGCACGGACCATAGCACAAGTTCCAGTGCCGTGGGTGTCTGGTCTTCAGCCAGCGCTAATTGCATAGGATGCTCTGCCTTTTCTTCGTTGTTGTGGCGTCTTCGACGACGGAGGAGGAGAGGACGAGGTCGGTGTCTGCGGACAACGTTTGCACCGGCAACTGCGCTGTTGCGAAGGTATCGCGACGCCTTCCGAGGAAAGAGCCGTCCATGAAGTGTTTTCTTTTGCTTTTCTTCCGATTTGCCCGTATCCGATTCATCGAATTCTGATTTACTCTCTGGCTCCGATTGGTGATCCCCTGCGATCCAGGAGCGTGTTACGGTGAAGTCGAACGTAGCTGTTTCAGGGCTCCAAAATGGCTGGTCCTTCGGGATAGCTGGGGTCCGGAAAGTGGTATCATTAATACCAGGTATTCTCACCGTGACAAATACACAACTATCCGTGCATGCAACGGGCAGTTTTGCTTGGGCTACTTGCACCCGAAAAATTGCCAAGGGCACCTCCTTGTCCTCGTTGCTAATCAATGGTTCGCTCGTATTGGGACGAATGGACGCTGATGCATGCGTTTCATTAATCCCGTTATGCTTTGGTATAGTTCCCATCCTGGAAAGTTGACATATATTTTGCAAGGTGGGACTGGCTCAACACGTTTGCATGTTCTCCAGATCGCCAAAATTTCAAGAAGGACCGGACTGGTCGAAAGTTGATCCGAACGTTTATGTAAAGAAAATTATGGCGCTTTGTTATAGGATGTTCCGGTAGCTCAGGGGTAGAGCGGCAGATTGCAATTAATTGACATCTGCAGGTCGTGCGTTCGAATCGCGCCCGGAACTCGTTTAGTCCTTTTTTTTGGTTTCACACCTCACTTCAGTCAATTCATCATAGACTGCGTCGCACTCTTTTCGGCACTTTGTGCTCGTTCTTCGAAGCACACATTATTTTCTAGTCTTACATTGAACTAGTAGATTCTTTTTTCCCAAAAAATTCTAGTATTACATATTTGAACGTTCATGCTGCTCTGGGAATGGGTTTTCCATTCGTGCCTTTTCAATGGCGGGGTTCAAGCCTTTGATATGAACGGCTTGCTAGAAATTGTCAGTAAAAGGGATACAGGAAAAGAAACGACATACCTTCACGCATGCTTGGTATTCAGCAAATAATTTCCCGCAGTCATGCTCATAGCGTTCGCGGAGCACGGCAAGATGCTGCGACATCCGGTTGCTCCCCGAGGACAGACGTGGAAATCCGCTCGTCCAAGATCCTTTCGAATGTTGTGCGTTGGTATCAATATATTCAGAGGATGCGTCAAGGTAGTCTTTGAACCATGCGTTGAAACACCGATCGTATGTATGTTTGAGGGGTGTACATTCCGGAGATAGGGAGTCCATCAGACCCAATGGTGCAGATTCATTGAGACCCGTTGTCTCACCAGCTGCACCACAAGACATGTCCACTCCGAGAACAATAGGCTAGAAGTGACTAAGAACGATGGTCCTTGCGGGATCGGTGCAGGTAGTATATTTCGTAATCAATTATCAGCCACAGTCACCGTCGATGGATGTGAAGGAACCCATGCCTGTACGACACCCAGAGTTGAACAACGGGGCAAACGGCTTAAACTTGGCTGAGAATATTACAATACGTCATAACCACTTGATGAGTATTAAAGACTATTCACTTGTATCTAGCCAAAAGAAAGCCTGTCTGTTAGTACACCGCACTGTGTAGACAAGACAATTGTGCCGCAAAATCCATCATCTAGGAGCAAAAGACTTTTAGATGGTATGGGTATTCGCATCGGAATAATCCTAGACTTGAACTATGCAAAAATAGTTCTAATCCTCTGGATTTTGCAAGACACAGCTGCCTGGTTTCGCTTACCCATGATCATGGTAATGCATAGGCCGGGCGCATGTCCGACGCAAGACTTCCGATTCTCACACGTGAGCGGATGCCCGCGTTATTACATCAGACGCCGTTGCCACCCTCGCACTGTTAACAATTCTCAACCTGTGATTTGTTCTTGGCCCGATTTTACTTATGAATTATTACTATTACATCCTACATTACTGGCCGAAACGCGGAAAATGCCGGACGAGGTAGCCCGCAGCGCACAAAAGTCGAGGGTCCATACGTTGAATCTTTCCAACTCACTACACTAACACAATGGGATTCGAGGAGGGTGACGCTAAGAAGGGTGCCAACCTGTTCAAGACGCGCTGCGCGCAGTGCCACACCATCGAGGAGGGTGGTCCCCACAAGGGTAAGTCGACAATGTCTCTTCTATGGAACCGTTGCTGACACGCAATCAGTGGGTCCTAACCTGCACGGTGTTGTTGGCCGTCAGTCGGGCAAGGCCGCAGGCTACAACTACTCTGAGGCCAACATCAAGAAGGATGTGCTCTGGAACGAGCAGAACCTCTGGGAGTACCTCGAGAACCCTAAGAAGGTACGTTCTTCTTATCTAGGGAGGACATTTACTAACTGTCACAGTACATTCCTGGGTACGTTTTTGAATGCACCACAGTGGTGGTGCTTTGATTGTTAGAACAAATACTGACCATGTTTCCCTCTCGTGCGTCCGTGCGATGGGTTTGATGTACAGCACCAAAATGGGTATGTACCTATTTTGAGAAGATGGTACGCTAACCTTCAGCTTTCGCTGGTCTGAAGAAGGCCAAGGACCGTGACAACCTCGTCACTTACATGAAGGAGGCTTCGCAGTAAAGTTGCTGGCATGTAGAACACTAGCAATACTGCTTATTTTTTCAATTATTTAAAGTGTTTTGTGTGCGTGTGGGCACTGTACTTCTAAGGGCTGCTGCGGGAGGGCCTCCGCCATTTAGACTGGGTGTCGCATTTACGCTACGTTAACGAGTCCTAGGGCCATTTCTGTGACGATAGGCGCCTCCCCCATGTCCGCTCCGAGCGGCCGTGCAGACTCGCGGAGGTAGCCTGTTCGGCTCCATGCGTCCCCATTTGATTGGTTGATGCGTGCCAGACAAGGGCGCGATGCCGGCGGCAACCAGAACCTAGATGACTAAACCGATTCGGGTCCGTCGGATCGACCTTTCCCATCGCAAATCGGGTATCTCGTCGCCTGCGAGGCAGGATCGAAATCGAGGCTGCATACCTATTCTGGTGAGGATCGACACTAGAGCGATCGCAGTGTGGAAATTTGTGCGCGTTCACCTTGTCGGCCCACGGCACAGTAGATCCCTTGTGCACCGGAGTCCGTGAACTTGCTTTTTCACTCGTTGCCAGGTTATGGCAAAAGCGAATTCAAACGTCTCTCGATTGCCCGACACCGACGTTGTGAAACTGCCTCCTCTTCGTTCCCTCGAACCCATGGCCCATACAGCTCCTGAAGACACTGCAGCCCGCGACCAAGATGCGCTAACCGCTCCGGCGCCCGTGGTGTCTGACGACCGCGCCACAGCCCCTGCCGAGAAGTCTGGCCTTGACCCTGCCGCACGTGCATCCTTCCGGTCGTCGCAGGCGACGCCTGCGGCCGCGCCGAGCCAGGGCAGCTATCGCTCGCCCTCGCCACCTCCGCCTGCGCCCGCCGCGTTGGCATCGCTCAGTGCACAGAGCGCGCCATATGAGTCACACGGCGAACCTCGTCCGACGCGTGCGGGTGAAGCTGCCCCACATGCCAACTACACTGCGAGCCGAACCGGAACCGCTCCGGCGATGCCTCCTGTGGCGGCCGCGCAGCCGGCGATCACGCCGTGGTCGTCTGGCATGCAAGGTACCCTGGAGCCCAACACTTTGTACTCGTTCGAACGTATTCATGCTGCGAGTCTTGCGCTATACAATTACGCAAGTGAGCATCTGGAACGCCAGCTGCCGGCTGCCCCCGAAGAGCTTTATGGACTGCTGCCTATCGCCTCAGAAATTAGCCAAGAGTTGCGTTCGTTGCTGGGCATGCACGAGGGTCGCATGGCACGCGACGCTGCCGACGTCGCGCCCTATTACCCGTGGACGTCCGGTAGTGCCGCGCCGCCATATTGGATGCCAGGCAGTCGCGACGAGCGTGACGGCAAGGCGCTGCGTGGCGATGAGGGCGATACAGACGACAAAGCCGGTCACCTGCGTCGCCGCAGCCCGAGCCAGGCCAAGATGAACGACCGCATGGCACCTCGGGGCATGCGCACCCTGCCGGGTGGTGATGATCTTGGGACGTATGCTTCGAGCGTATCGGGCCAATCCATGCGCGCCGATTCCATGTACCTCCAGCAACCGTACGGCGCGCATAGCGTTGCTAAACCCGCGCAAAGCGATGCAGCTGGTTCGGGGCAGTATGTGCCCAAGTACCGCAAACGAAGTCGCGCGCCAGCTCCGGGCGTGTGCCATGCCTGTGGGAACAGCGACACACCGGAGTGGCGCCGCGGACCCGATGGGGCACGGACACTGTGCAACGCGTGTGGCCTGCACTTCTCCAAGCTGGTGCGCCGGCGGACGCTGGAGTATGCGAATGCGGCCCCTGGCACGCCCATTCCGCCGGTGACCACGGCGGAGCTGCGTGCATCGACCAATGTGGGCAACCATGCGAATATGAACATGGCTCCGGGCACGGGCAACGCTTCTGTGCCCGTGCGGACGCGCCCAACGTCGATGTACAGCAACCCAGCAGCCGCGCCTGCGCCTGCGCGTCCCGTGCCCGTGGACCCTGCGGTCGAGGTGAGCGGCGGTGCGTCGAGCGTGCCGCCACCGGCGCCGCAGCCGGCGCATGCCGAGTTGGACCGCTCCCACGACGTGACCCGGAGCGAGGAGGCAGGTGCGAGTCTCGGCAAGCGCCCTGCGGGCGATGCAGCTGAGCTCGAACCGGCCGGTCAGCAGCCGCGTGCCGAATCGTAGACGCCGCAGTTGCGCTTTGTATTGTTACGGTAGCCCTAGGCACAAAACTGCGACTCGACACCCAACCGCGGTCGGTTAGAGGGTAGGCCGATCAGTGTGAGAGAGCATAAGCATTTCTTATGGATTTTGGGCGCAGCGTGCTCGGCTACATAAACGATACATGGCTCCCATTGCAAGTGGGTGGTGGGGACGACCAGAAAAGCAGACAGACCATATGCGTACACACCACAAGCGCCGTGAGCCAACACAAACGCTTAGCGGTAGCGGCGGAGCTGCAGCGTCTGGGTCCGGCGGTACTCGGCGGCGCGGCTGCCACCGGTGGTCTGGTGGAAGCCGTGGCCCTTGCCAATACCACGCGATTTCTTGCCGGCCGACGTGAGACCGCGGAGCTCGCGGTGCTTGTGAACGGGCTCGGCGATCCAGTTGATGCGCGCGTCGCGGCGGATCGCCTTGTGCTGAGGGTCCACGCAGATGACCTCGAAGTACTTGTACACACCGTCCTGGTTGACCCAGTACGAGTTCAGCACGCGAAGGTTGGTCGCCTTGCGGCCAACGCGCTCCTCAGCGAGCACGCGGAGCGAGCGGGCGGGCTTCAGGTGGTTAACACCCTGGCGGACGGGCTTGCCGTACGTCGCACCCTTAGAAGCCTTCTTCTTGCGGTTACCGCGGCGGACACGCACACGGAAGATGACATAGCCCTGCTTGGCCTTGTAGCCCAGGCGGCGGGCCTTGTCAGGGCGCGAGGGGCGCGAGATGCGCGAGACCACGTTCATCTGGCGGTACTCCCAGCACCGAACGCGAAGCAGGAAGCGGAGCACATCGCTCTGCTTCTTCTTGTAGAGCTCCTCCAGGTACTTGTAGGCACCCATCTGCAGTATGTGTTAGTATCTATTCTTTGTGCGAATCCACGTTGCCCGTCGCAGGCGGCTCGGTGGACGATGCGTACCTTGCTTGAAGAGAAGGGATGGTAAAG